GTCTGCAGCCCGCTTGCAGCCACTCTGCCCCGGGGAGGACCTGGGCGTCCTTGCCCGCGCCCCCTCTTCGGGCCCTCGCTCCCTTCCCCTGGGGGGCAACACGAGCTGTGGAAAAGAGGACTGGGGGAGGAAAATGGCGGCTGGGATCCGCCTACCTGGTGTTCCTAGCTCGTCCTGGCTTGTCTTTCTTCTCTCCCCTTCCTTCGTCCTCGCTTGGCCCGTCTCATTCCGCCCTCCCTCTCATCGGTGCTTCGGTGTCTCCTCACACTCTGCCTGTCAGCTTCTCCCGAGGGGCACCTACCACCCCCCATTTCTGTTTCCTCCAGTTTCCGCCCCCACCTCCCTCCATATTGTCACTCCCTCATCCTGTTGCGGACCCTGGGGTTACCCCTTGCTGGTGCCCATGCCCCTCGTGTATCTAGTCTTTTCTTGTTCGGCTCCCCGATTTCATGTCATCGCTGTGCTTCTTTTTATGTTGTCCCATTCCAGCTCCATCCTGCAGCGTGGCTTATGTGTGCTTCCCCATTCCCCGTTTAATTTTCAGTGCTACAGTTGTGCTCCAAGCTATTACGACAGAACTTACCCTACTTTGGAACCACGTTGATCCACTAGCATTGTTCAGACTCTGTTTTTTCATTTGTGTATATTTTTTTCACTGCCAGTTTAAAAACATTGCTATTACTTTTTATTTCTTGAGATACACATCTTTAATGTTTGCTTAGCCTTTCCTAGCTGTGGTTCATTTTACACAGTTTCTCTGGGATGCTTATTTTTATTCTGAAAGAACAAATGAGCTAACTCTTTGTTACAAAGAGTTTCTAGTAGCAGGCAAGATATGCAACTGCTGTATCTAACCACATGTTTGCATACTAGAGAGATGTAGAAGCACACCTGGCCGCATGCATTCGAGGAAAGTTAGATGTCCACTTGTCTGGCAAATGAAACAGAGTCTAGTGACTGATGTGTTGACAATACAGTGGAAATATTAATTGCAATGCTGTAGTTTACTGTAACCAAGGTGTCTTTCAGACTTTTGTATTATTGGTGGGAACTTCAGCTTCATGCATGATGATGATGCAGCGTGTTGCTTGCAAATCCAACTGGGCGAAATGCCTATGTAAGAGTACAGATAATGGTAGGGCCTTAATAGTTTATGTTTGTGAATGTAATATAAAGAATTCAACTGGACAACAGTATTGTTTTGTATTTTTTATGTTACGGTTTCTGCCATATCAAGGGGTATGTGAAACTGGTGAAAAATTGTTCCTTTGTAAACAGTTTGGAATGTAAACTACTGCATTTAATGCAGTTGCAGCAGAAATCGGAAGA